CTTTGCAGGGCTAGTTTCTTCCCAGTCCTCCCTCACCAAACTTGAGGAGTATTACCGTTTCCTAAACAAACACCAAACCCAATATCGACTGAGGGGTCTTGTCAAAGAAGATGGTCCCATAAGGGAATCAGAGAATGTCTGAATCAAAAATAAGCACAAATATCACTCACAAGCAGCACATTTTAGAAAAGTGTCTGAATGCTATTGAAGCCCTGCCACTCATATCTATATACCTATGGGTGTGCACACACAATCACTACCTATGTGTTTGCACGTGCACACAAATATACACACCGCTATCACCATCTCAATCCATCATTTAATGTCCTGGCCTCTGGCTCAAACACAGTACACAGCTTAATTTGCTATTGACAATCAGAACAGATAAAGGTTCTAAATAGAAGTAGTGTTTTTAAAATGCCTGTTATTCATCAGTCTGTGTTTGAACCAAATGCGGACATTTCAGTGATAACTATCCATAGTCTCACATGGAACTTTGGGGTTCCGTCCACTGATTTAAATAGAATGAGTTCCAAAGCAGTGGTGGCTGGTCATTTCTTTTGTTTAGAATGATTTCCTGGGAAAGTTTCCTAATTGTTAGGACTTAAGCTGCATGACACCTGCCTCTGCCTCTAGTTTCTTTCAAAGGCAGCATATATCCTATCAAGCACAAAGACCTAAAAATCTTAGGGCCTTGTGGGAATAGTTCAGTGGCAAAACATATGTTCAGCATGCTTGAGGCTCTGGGTCTATCATCAGCATGTTTATACATGCATAAACACATTCATACACACATAGGGGCAGTATAGACAGAGTCTTGTGAGCTAGCTTGTTTATGCCAACTTAACACAAGCTAGAGTTATCTGAAAGGAGGTTAACCTCAGCTGGGAAAAATGTATCCGTTAGCTCTGTCTGTAAAGCATTTTCTTAATTAGTGATTGATGCAGGAGGACCCAGCTCAGTGTGGGTGGTGCCACTGCTGGGCTGGTGGGCCTGGGTTCTATAAGAAGGTGGGCTGAGCAAGCCATGTGGAGCAAGTCAGTAAGTTCTTGCCTCCAGGTTCCTGCCCTGTTTGAGTTCCTTTCCTGACTTCCTTCCGTGATGAGCAGCAATGATGAAGTGTAAGCCAAATAAACCCTTTCCTCCCCAACTTGCTTTTAGTCATGGCGTTTTGTTACAGCAATAGGAACTCTAAGACATCTTGCACCCTACCAAAGGAGATATGCTGAAAAGGACAGGAGAAGCACACCAGTCTGTACAGAACAGGGGTAGATAGTGTTTGTGCAATGATGGACTCTTAGATGTGAAGCTAAGGACAACAAAACATTTGAAGACATATACAGGCGATGAACAGCCATGAGCTGTGTGTAATTTCCCTTCCCATAATAATACCCTTTATCTGCAAAGAACTTCATAGCTTCAAGTTCTTTCACATAAAACACTGTGGCAGTGCCCCTGAGTCCCCATTCCGAACTTGCTCCTATGCCAGTGGCCTGACCCAAGGAATGGATCTTTGATCCAATCCAAGTGGTTTGCAATTTGGGCTGTACAGTAGAGCTTGAGAACTTTGAAAACCCCAATACTTGGTTCTGGAGACCTCACCATAAACTAAATGGATCATATCTCCTGGACTTGGGGTGAAGCTCAATAGTAGAGCACCTGCTTATAACATGAGTTGGACCATGAGTTCTATCTCCAACACTAAGCTACACTCCACAAACATCTCTGGGGGAGGGGATTCAGGCATGGGCATTTTTCTAAAAGCCCCTACTCATGTGGTTTTCCTTTCTCAGGCTCCAATTACCTACTGTCAACCACAGCCAAGATATAGTAATAGAAAATTGCAGACATCATTTATAAGCATTACTATGCTGCTCTGAGTAGCAGGATGAGCTGTCACATAGTCCTGCTCTGTTCTATCTGAGATGAAAACCATTCTTTGTCCAGAATATTCACATTGATCTGCACTGTATACATGACCTGCCTCATGGTAGCCCTGAAACAATACACTGATAGAACTTTTATTGTAACCCATTATTATAATCATTTGATTTTATTATTGCTGTTAATCTTTTAATGTGCCTAATTTATAAATTAAATCTCCTCATAGGCATGTATGAATAGGGAACATCATGGTACATATAAGATGCAGTATTATCCAAGGGTTTTAGAAATATCCTCACCAAAGAGGTCAGCTGTAATTTTCACCCAGGACTGAGAACTGCTGCTAAGAGCCACTCAAGATGCTTCCATTTCCTCATGCCAATTCTATGGGAGCTAGTTCTAGCCAGTGAGAAGTCAGCTAGGAGGTCTAGTAGCTAGTGGGTTCTGAGAATTTTTTTTATAACCAGATTATCTTCCTTGGATCCAGGAATACAAGCATTTTAATAAATCCCTACATTGATATCATGGCTACCTACCATGTGCAGTTTTCCTTCTGCCATGTGAGATGACTCTACAGTGTAAGTTTCAAACTGCTTTTTACTGGCTGACACCACCCTCAGGAATGCTTAGAGTATTGTTGTGTGTGCACTGTCTTTCTGTCTACTCTTATGCTTCTGCACCTCCCTGGGGTAGAATTATGACTTAGTAGAAATAGCTAGCCTTATTTTAACCCTGTTTTGGCAGAATTTTAACCCCATAAGGAGGTAAATCATTTTCTTTTTCTCTCTCTTTTTTCTTTTCATCTCCTCCCAAATCATTTTTATTTGCATTTTGTTTTCAGACTGTCCAAGTAATTGTCCAGGCTCGACTTGGTGAAAAGATTTGCACTCGTTCATCTTCTTCCCCAACGGGTTCAGACTGGGATGTAGGAAGAAGAGCTCAGTCACCAAAGTCTACAAGAGCCTAACCCTTCTACCCAGATGCTCCTCCAGTCCTACAGAGAAGTCCCATCAGCCTTCCAAATAGCAGCAGCAGCATCTCCAGCCACAGTCACTGCCACCCACACAGACTTGCACTCCTTGGAGGATAAAGTCTTTGTCCTCTACCCTCAACTCTGTTTCCCTGCTCCAGACATCATTCAGTGTGTCAAAACAAATTGGGGGGAGGAGGTGAAGAAAGCATTTGGCAAGCAGAAACAGGTGGATCTCTGTGAGTTTGAGGCCACCCTGGTCTACAAGAGCTACAGAGAAACCCTGTCTTGAAAAACCAAAAACCCAAAACAACAAAAACATAAAATGCCTCAGCTTTTGCTCATGGGAGGAGTTTCCTGAGGTCTCTGTGAATGTGAGTTAGGGACCATTATATTCCATTTGTAAATGCCTCATAACAGGTGATAGGATGTTTTTATTAAGATATGAGGAGTCAAACAAATATGAGGAGTCTAAAGCTTTGACTGGCTTTCGAAACCCATTCCTCAGTTGCCTTGGCCAGCTTTAATACAAGGGAAGGCCTTTAGTTTTACTGCAACTTAAAATACCATGCTTTGTTGATATCCACGGGAGGCATTCCCCTTTCTGAACAGAAACAGAGGAGGAGTGGATTAGGGTGGGGGTGGGAAGGGAGGTGGAGGGAAGAGAATTGGAGAAGAGGGGGAGGGGAAACTGCAGTCGGGATGTAAATGAAATTTATTTTGAAAAATATGAGGAGTTTCCCTGGGCCTTACCTTCTTCCACTCTAGAAATCAGGAAAGAACACAGACTTCCTAGCAATTATAGAAACTGACTTGATTACTGGGAGAAACAAATTCAGTTAGCCAGCTTCCTGAAACCCTAGGTCTATTAACCAAAAGAAAAATCCATCTTCATTAACATCTTCAACCTTTGTCCCTCCTTCCCTTCCCAGGGGAGTACTGAATTACACTATAAAATAATGAATGGAAACTTAAGTCACTTCCGGCCTCCCTCCCCTTTCTTCCTCTTCTGGTCTGCACTGTACAGAAGGCAGCAGGCACTCTTCCAACTCACAGTGTTTGGAGAAATGCATTCCCATGCCACTGACTAGATTCCTATGGCTAGCAGCCTGCAGAACAAGCCTTCCCTCCGCCCAGTGTTACACACCATCTGTTAACCCAGCACTGGACCCATAGAGAGACTGTTAGAGGCCATTTTGGTAAACCACTTTGTAGAGAATGAACAAAAAGGAGAGGTTTACTTGACAAATTGTTAACTGACAGCCTAAGATCCCATCTATCGAAACAGCAGAATGGAGCTGGGGGGAAAACCCAACCCAGCCTTCTTAGAGCACTAGAGGAAGCTGACCTAGCAGCTTTTGTGACCTGACACAAACGGGATATGGTCAGATATCCTGCAAACAGCAGTCAACCTCTAGAGAGAGGGGAAAGGACAGGAGGGAGAGATGGGAGACGGGAATGGAGAAGGGCATACACAAGCCAGGGAAAAGAAATGTCAGCTCTACTTGTTTAAAATAGGGCTGGAGACACACAAACGTGCATAAACGGTTGCAAGAGTTGCCCAACAGTGCTCGAATGCTGAGTACTCAGAGAGAAAGCTCTGAACCCGAGAAGAGAGGTGAAATAACAGGCAGAAAAAATTGAGGATAAGTAGGAGCAGAATCCACTTTTTCCATGACACCTTGCTTTCGGTTGTACTTTCTGCCTCTGGAGGCAGACACTCACAGCAAAAGGCCGCCCCACAGGACAAAAAGCCATCCACTTCAGAACCATCAGTCTTGAGCTGTTCTCCAAATCCTATGCGCCACTCTTCCCAGGCCTGAGTTGCCCTAGGAAGCTTTAGGCCTTCTCTACTGTCTTTGAGCCTTATGAAGGGATTTGGGAGAGCAGAGCTTTGGCTGCTGCTTCGGCTGCATTTATACATCTTCTCTCCGTTCTAGGTCTTCCTCTGAAAAAGGAGGTGTCTAAGCAAGGGAACCCACTGAAGCACCTCAATTTTACCAGACAGGGCTTTCTTGGACGTGTTCTGACAGCATGCGATTCAGGACAACAGTGTCCCCTGTAGTCACCCTCCAACTCCCCCCTTGTTGTTTCTTGATACCCAAACACCATTCCTTACAACCTGCCCCATCCAGAGCCACCTTACCTGGATCAGCCCCGGGGCCGGGCTCGGGATCAGAGTGTTACGTGGCCCAGTTGGTCTTGGTCTCTAGAGGTGTCTCCCCTTCCCTGGCGGTCTGCATGTCGCCCTCTTCTCTGCTGCGAGGGTAGGCCAGGAGTCGCATGGCGGGGGCGCAGGCGGCCTCCACCTGGCGCACCTGCTCTTGGCTCAGGCGCTCGCGCCAGGCGTACACAGCCTCTCGGGCGTCGCGCGCAGACAGGTGGAAGGGCCGATCGGCGCCGTAGGCCGAGCCGCGCGTCATGTTGAAGGCGAAGGCATCTAGCGCCGCGAGCGTCCGCAGCCCGGAGAAGCGCAGCAGGCGGCGCAGCTGGGCTTGGGGCTGCCACACCAGGTCCTCGTAGCGCAGCCTCAGGTAGCGACGGCGGAGCCAGGTGGGCGCGCCGCGCGCGAACAGCAGGTCGCGCAGCCAGGCCTCGCAGATCACCTCGAGGGCGCTGGTTAGGAAGAAATCGGCTCGCGGAGCGGAGGGCAGCACTCGGGCCTGGCCTCCCGGACGGGCGCCCACGCCGTGCGCCAGAAGCACCCGGTGGAAGCGGTCCCCCCTCTGGCGCGTGCGCAGCACCTGGATGCTCTCGCGCAGCAGCCCGTGCCTCGACTTGAGGCGCGAGTTGTGTACCGCCCGCGGGTCACGGAAGAGCTGCACCACCTTCAGGTTGAGGCCCGGGTCACGCAGCAAGGGCACCAGCACGCCCAGGTCGAGCAGCCTCACGTCCTTGATGACCACCACCGGGTACTTGCGACACTCGGCCTCCAGGGCGCGGAGCGGCACGGGCGGGCAGCTGCTCTCGCAAGCTTTGTCCTCGACGAGGCCCACCTCGGAGCGCGCGCGGGGCGCGGCGGGGCACAGCGGCGGCGAGCAGATGACCTTGTTGGTCCGCCAGCGGAAAAGCATGGCCGTGGTTAGGTTGGCTGAGTCCGGTGCTCGCGCCGCCTCGGGGTCCCCGGGCTGTGCGTAGAGCCTCAGCACGGAGAAGTCACAGCGGAAGAGAGAGCGCAGCATGTCCCTCAGCGCGCCTTGCAGGCTCTCGGCGTCGCCCGGATACAGCGCCTGCCACAGATGCCACATAGGCTCGTACAAGTAGAAAACGTCCGGGTGCTGGTTGAAGAGTTCGCCCAGGAAGGACGAGCCGGTACGCCAGGTGGCATGCACATAGATGTGTTGCTTCTCCTGGGCCACCGCCTCACCGACGGCGCTGAGGTTGCTCGGGGACCCAGGGGATCGACCCGCGTCCCGGTCGGCCCGGGACCGCACCTCCGTTCCCTGCTCACGCTCTCCAGCCGCCGCCGCCTCCAGGCTCCACACGCCCAAGCTGCGCTGCAGACCGGGGCAGTGCCTGACACCCTTGTCCTGCTCGCTGCCACTGTCCAGTACAGAGGGGACGAGCAGTAGCAGAAGCGTGTACAGCACCAGGAGCAGCGTGAACTTGCAGTACTCTCGGCGCCGCCGCCGCCGGCCCTTCATAGTTCACCGAGCCCCACGCCCCGCCACCTCGTCCAGGGCAGAGCAGGCTCCTGGCGGTTCTCTCCCCTGCCTCCGAAATCCCAACCGGAGTCCGCGCCTCCGGCCTCTCCGGGTCCCTCTGCGCTGGGTGGAGCGGAGCAGCCAGGCGGTGCATCCACTGGAGGAAACTCTCACTCTGTTGGGCTCGGCCTCTTGAGCGCGCTCATTGGCCAGTTCAGCAGCTGTCCGCCCTGCCCACAGTACCCGCAGCTTCTTCCCGCCCTCTTACCCTCCGGGGTCCGCTCACTGCCTCGGTAGATCTGGACCAGGCTGCCACAGGCCAGGCTCACCCTCTGGGATGCACTGAACTGTACTCCACCTCTCCTCAACTCCTTCAAACCAAGTTAAGTCTTCGTTAACCAGCTGACTTTAGGCGAGGGAGGGTCACGTGCGTAGAGATAAAGTACCCAGTGACTGGACATGAACCCACCCGGAGAATGTCACCGTTTTGTTGTTGTTGTTGTCGTCTGTTTTGTGTCGTCTGCCTTTCCATCTTGGTCCTAGGCAAATGATCACTCGCCATGATCTAAGCCCAGAGCCCTCATCAGCTCGGCAGTGGGTGTTGTGGCGTTAGAACACTGGTTAGAACACGCAGTGAAGATAAAAGATACCCACAGGCACCCCATGTGGTAGTTGGTGGGGACGTGAGACATTGCTGGACTGGCCCAACCAATTTAATGGGTAAGCTCTAGCAACCCTTGTGAAATTAAGTGCTCTGTTCTGCACATTTTACAAGCATTCGATTTACTCATTTGAGCTATGACTGATTTCCAGTGTCAGTTATCCTACTGTTCCAACTCTTAGAGGATGTTTGCAGAGTCAAAGTGGCAAAATGGTGAGTATCCCCAAGAAATGGTTGTTTAAAAGAACACATAGAGACGTGATAGATGAAAGGTAATCAGAAATCCAGGAGGCAGAATAAACTTAAAATTATTAAAATTTTAAAGAGAACTGAAAATGTTGTTTTTGTTTCTGGATGGGAAACAGGGAAGGGAGAGCTCTCTCTCATCCACCTTGAGAAGGTGTGGAAAGGTTAACAAAAGACAAGGCAAATTTACTCATCTCCACCAAGGGGAGGTGTTCAGATGGGGGAAAATGAGAACACCTGTAAGGATTTTTTATCTTTCTCTTCACCAAAGCTTCCCCAATTTGTCAAACAACTGACTCAAGGGTTACTTTTTCCCCATAGTTCTCTTACTTCCCAGCCTCTTGTGTATATAGCTAAAAGACTTTGGGCCAATCTTTTTCTCTTTGGCTTTTTTAATTTTAAAATTGTGTGTGTGTATGTGTGTGTGTGTGTGTGTGTGTGTGTGTGTGTGTGTGTAAGTCAGGAGACAGCCCGAGGGAGTTGGCTTTCTTCTCCCACTTGTGGCTCCTGGGGACTGGGGATTGAACTCTGGCTGTTAGGATCAGCTCGGGGCAGGTGCCCTCACTGAGTCATCTCACTAGTTCTGGGCCATCATTTAATGACACTTGTGCTAATAAACTAGATTTTCTTGCTAGCAAAGTCACTCTCCCCCGCCCCAAACCTGATTTTAGCTTTCTCTGGGCCCACAGACATCACTGCTAAAATTTTCCATAAAGAATATATTTCCAGCAAGAGAAATTTCACACCATCAACCTCAGCTAGTCTCTTGAACGCCATATTCATCATGTCAATTTCAAAGTTCAGGCCACCTGTACTATTTCAAATTCTCTGTTCTTCTCCAACCAGGAGTACCCCTGTACCCTTTTCCCAATAGTGTCCTTATTTCCTACTTTTTTGTCAAAGAAACCAGTAACATGTGTATCCACTCTTGTGTTAATCCTCCAAGGAGCAAGGATATTATCTTGCAACATAAAATGCATACCTTCCAGTATGGTTTTCCTTTTCCCTTTTCCTTTTTAAGCAAACAATGTGACTCTGGTCTCACCTGGGGAAAAGGATATGACTGAACAGAATGTAAATAACTCTGGTGTCTCTTTCTAAAAATCTCAAGCCCAGTAGTAGTGACATTAAAAATACAATTATCCCACAGCAACTTAGAGATGGGAGAGGACCTGGGGTCATGCTCAGTTGATAGACAGCTTGTCTCCTATGCATGGTACCCTGGCTTCTTCCACCCAGAGACTGGAGAGAGAAGGGATCAAAGGAAGAAGGAAGTATTATTGGACTAGGGGATTTATACAAGACACAGATAACAGGCGCTAGATAAGGAGTGGCAAGGACCATGCTCAAGCTACCTCTCTTGAGTGCAATGCCTACCTACTGAACTGCTGGTAGAGACAAAGATGAAGTTGGGCATCCTTTTGACCTGTCCAGGGCCTAGTTCCAAAGGCCTTGCCACAGCAAGAACATTGACTGAAAACCCCACAAGAGCGTTGGCAGGAGTTTTGGAATCAGTGAGGCTCCTTAATTACATTGTGGCTATATCACAGTCTGGACTTGTCAGTATAGATAACAGAGATAATATCGAAGAGAAGTGGGATTGGAGGAACTGATTTAGAGATGACCTGGAAGCCTCCTCACTAAGGAATAGTTCTCATAGTATAGGAAGCAGTTATGCAAGCTACCAACAGAGAAAAGCAATCAGTAGTCCTACCCAGCTGTAATTCCTAAGAACCACAGAGACCAGCAAGGCAAGATATTCAAAAAGAGCAATGGTTGCACTTATATTCTGGGACACTCTGCTTCAAGATAGTCACCTCTAAAAAACCAAACAAAACGTAAACAAACAGAATATGAAGGGGGATAAAGAGAGGAAGGTGATTCTGAAAGGGATAGCAGGGGAGGAGTGAGTGGTGAATATGATCAAGATATGCTGCATAAAATTCTCAAATAATTAATAAAATATTATATGGTAAAAATATGAGATTCCTGCTAGTGAAGCAAGTAAGCTAACTGCAGATCTTCAACTCTCCTTTCACTCCTCTAGGTGCAATCCACCAGTCTCATCCCCAGATCTGTAGCTGACCATGTGTTGCTGCTTCTCTTCACTCTCTACCCCCATTCCCAGGGTACCAACCTGATCCTGGTGGGACATTCTGCTTTACTCTCTCCTGCAGAACCCCTCAGCACTCCCCACTCCTAGCCCATCCCCATTCTTATGCATCAGTTCCCAATATCTAGAAACACATTTTACCTGGAAACCACAGTGGCCCCACCTGTTAGGATCTGTCTGAGTAACTGTTCTATTGGTATGAAGATATGGTACAACCAAGGTGACTCTTAGGAAAGAAAGCATCTAACTGGGGGATTGATTACAGTTTCAAATGTTTAGTCCATTATTATCATGTCAGCAAGCAGGTAGGCACCACAACAGTAGCTAACAGCTAGCTACATCCTGATCTGTAGGCAGAGAACATCACTGGGCCCAGGATGGGCTTTTAAAAACCTCAAAACGCACCCTCAGTGATGCACTCCCTCCAAAAAGTCCCCATATCCTAATCTTTCTAATTCTTTCAAAAAGTTCCACCCCCCTGGTGACTAAACATTAAAATATATGAGCCTATGGGGGCTATTCTTACTTGAACCACCATAGGATCCCAGAAATTCCTGCCAGGCAACACACAGACAATGCCTTCTTCTAAGAACCAAAGAAGGCAACAGAAACCAAAAACCCACTCAACAAACACAAGACTAGATATCAGCACCTAGAATCACAATACTCTCTTTTAAATTTACTTATGTATTTTTATTTTTAAATTTAAATTAGAAACAAGGTTGGTTCACATGTCAATTCCAGGTTCCTCCCCCTTTCCCTCCACTCCTCCCACACCCTCCTACCAACCCCCTCAATATCCCCTCATTTCCCCAGGGAGGGTGAGGCCCACTATGGGGGTATCCATAGTCTGTCATTTCATCCAGGGCAGGGCCTAGACCCACCCCTGGGAGTCCAGGGTGAGAGTGCATCTCTCATTGTTGAATGGGAGCCCAAAGTCCATTTGTATACCTGGGATTAATACTGATCTACTACCCAAGGCTCAATAGATTACCTAGGCCTCCTCACTGACACCCACATTCAGGGGGTCTTGATCAGTCCCATGCTGGATTCCCAGGCATCAGTCTGGGATTCAATAGCTAACCCTTGTCAGGTCAGCTGTTTCTGGGGGTTAAACCAGCCCAGTCTTAACCCATTTGCTCATTAGTTCTCCCTCTCTGTCACTGGGTTCCTTGAGTTCAGCTCAGTGTTTAGCTGTGGGAGTCTGCCTCTGCTTCCATTAGCCACTGAATGAAGGTTCTGTTTCCCAGACTCTCTGGCCATGGGATTGTAGGCTGGCACTCCCCAGATCTATGTCTAAAATCCATATATGAGAGAGTATATGCCATGTTTCTCTTTTGGTGACGGGGTTACCTCACTCAGGATGGTTTCTTCTAGTGCCATCCATTTGCCTGCAAATTTCAGGATTCCACATTTTCTCTATCCACTCTTCGTTTGAGGGGCATCTAGGTTGCTTCCAAGTTCTGGCTATTAAAAATAATGCTGCTATGAACATAGTGGAACAGACATCTTTGTTGTATGAATGGGCATCTTTTGGATATATGCCTAAGAGTGGAGTTGCTGGGTCTTGTGGTAGGTTTATTCCCATTTTTCTGAGGAATCTCCATACTGATTTCCAAAGTGACTATACAACTTGGCACTCCCACCAACAGTGGAGGAGTGTTCCCCTTTCACCACAACCTCTCCAGCATAAATTGTCGTTGGTGTTTTTGATTTTAGCTATTCTGACAGGAGTGAGATGGTATCTCAGAGTTGTTTTGATTTGCATTTCCCGGATGGCTAAGGATGTTGAACACTTTCTCAAGTGCCTCTCAGCCATTTTAGACTCCTCTATTGAGAATTCTTTATTTAGTTTGTATCCCACTTTTTCATTGGATCCTTTGGTGTTTTGGAGACTTGCTTCTTTGTAAATTTTGGAGATCAGCCCTCTGTCAGATGTGGGGTTAGTGAATATCTTTTCCCATTCTGTCTTGCTGACTGTGTCCTTTGCCTTACAGAAGCTTCTTAGTTTCAGGAGGTCCCATTAATTAATTGTTGATCTCACTGTCTGTGCTACTGGTGTTATGTTCAGGAAGCTGTCTCCTGTACCAATTCATTCAAGGGTACCACCCACTTTCTCTTCTAAGAGGTT